AATGAACTATAAGGATTAAAAATATCATTCATTATATTTTGAAATTCTGATGGTGCATTTTTTAATCCAAATGGCATAACTTTCCATTCATAATGTCCAAAGGGTGTTGTAAATGCTGTTTTATATCTATCTTTTGGATTTATTATTATTTGCCAATATCCTGATTTTAAATCGAACTTTGAAAATATCTTGGCATTAAACAATCTATTGAGCAAATCTTTTTTATTAGGAATAGGGTATCTAATCCATTGTAATACTTTATTTAAAGGTTTATAATTTATTACTAATCTTGGAACTCCTCTTTCTTTTTCAGCTTGATTCATAACATAAAATGCAGCACAACTCCAAGGTGATTTTGAAGGTGTTATTAATCCTTTATCTATTAATATTTTTATTTCCTTCTTACAAAATTCTAGTAGCTCAGAATTCATTTGTATTGGTCTAGCTTTTGTTGGAATATTGTTTTCTTCAAAGTCTTTTTCATAGGGTAATTCTATCATATGTTGTTTTCTATCCCAAAAAGCATTAGGAATATCTGCACAAATTTCTTTTTTAAATAATTTTTCTAATTCTGATATTCTTTTTTGTATTTTAATATCATTTAGTTGTTCTTCAATTTTTAAATAAGATTTTTCTTCTTTAATATATCTTATTTGTTGTTGTACTCTAGTAATAGTATTTATGGTTTTATATATTGAAGATGTTTGTAATGTTTGTAATTCCTTTTGTCTTATAGGGGTTAAGAATTTAAAGATAACAGTTTTTCCCATTATATTTACTGAAATTCCTTCATTACTTACTAAAAATGGATATATTTGAATTAAAAAAGGTGTTCCTAATATTACATCATGATTTATATTATTTACAATTATAAAATTATGTCTAATACAATATTCATTATTACATATTGATCCTTTTGTAAATTTATATTTTACTTTTAAATCTTCTCCATTTGCAGCCATTAGTTTTTCTTTTGTTCTTTCACAATATTTAGTGGGGATTATTCCTTCTTTAATACAACTTGTATCAGTTCCACTATCTATTAGAGTTACAAATGTTTCTTTGAAATCTTCTACTGTGATAGTTACTAAAGCAAACCATTTTTGAAAAGTCATTTTTTCTATAGTATTTAAGTATTGATCTTCTTTTACTGGATTTTCTGCTATTGATATTTCATTTGTTTTAATATTAGAAGTTGAAGGTTGATTGTTATCTATTAATGTTATTTTAGCTTCTATTTCTAAATCTTTTGTCTTTAAATTTATAATTTCTTGTTGTAATTGTTTTACTTGTATTTTAAGATTATTAATTTCTGATTGAAGATCTTTAGTAGTTTCTTTTTTTTTTTTTGTAATGATTGGTCTTGGAAGATGGTAAGTTCAAAAAATTATTATCCTAAACCAAGTCCTCCGGATATTCAATATGAAGAAAGATCAAAATTTAGAACTACTAAATATGATGGAGATTCAATATATGAATGGAATATAGATGGCAAAGTTAGATATGAAGTATTAAATAATTTGCAAGAAATGGGAATGGCTAGATTAGCCTACAAAATTAAAAATATTCAAGAAAGAAATATTGCAACATTATTAGTCTCAAGATTTACTGGACAATTAAAAAATTGGTGGGATAATACTTTAACATTACAAGATAAATTATCAATATTAGATCATACACAAGAAATCGAAAATGATCAAGGAAATATTCAAATACAGTCAGATGCTGCAGAATTTTTAATTGTAACAATAGTCATGTATTTTATAGGAAATCCAAAAGAAGAATTAAATTCTAATAAAATATTTTTAACAAATTTAAGATGTCCAACATTATCAGATTTCAGATGGTATAAAGATATGTTTTTAACAAATGTATTAAGAAAACCAGATTGTAATGCTTCATTCTGGAAAGAAAGATTCATAACTGGATTACCAAGCTTATTTTCACAAAGAATAATGGATAATTTACAAAAGGAAATAGGAACAGATGTCATTTCATTCGAGAATATTACTTTTGGACAATTATTTACTTTTGTGAAAAAAGAAGGATTAATGTTATGTTCAGAATTAAGATTACAAATAAAATATGGATCAAAAAGAAAAGAAGTAGGATCATTCTGTGATGCATTTGGAATTAAAAGAATAAAGTCACCATCAGCATACAAAAAGAAAATTAAAAAATATTCTAAGAAAATAAGATATAAAAACCCTAAGGAAAATGAACCAACTAAGAAGAGAAAATTTATTAAAAAGAAAATTGTTTGTTATAAATGTGGAAAAATAGGTCATAAAGCAAACAAATGTAAATTAAAAAAAAATTACAGAAATCTGTGCAAACGACGAAGAAATTAAAAACAAGTTAATAAATTTATTAATAACTGAACAAGATAATCATTCTGAAAATGAATATTATGATGATATATCTAGTTCTGAGAGCGAAGAAGATTGTAATTGTACTCCAAAATATATAAATGTTATAACTAAAAAAGAAGATAAAGAATTCTTATTAGACATAATAGACAAAATTGAAGATCCAAAAGTTAAAAAAGAATATTTAGAAAGATTAAAAAGCTTAATTATTCAAGAAGACAAAATGCCTAAGATAATAGAACCTTTTAGTATTTCTAAATTAATAGACAAATATCCTAATATAAATATAATGAAAAAGGAAACTACTAAAGATCTTCAATCAGAAATTAATAATTTTAAAATACAAGTAAAACAATTACAACAAGAAATTATAAATTTAAAGACAAAAGATTTAGAAATAGAAGCTAAAATAACATTAATAGATAACAATCAACCTTCAACTTCTAATACTAAAACAAATGAAATATCAATAGCAGAAAACCCAGTAAAAGAAGATCAATACATAAATACTATAGAAAAAATGACTTTTCAAAAATGGTTTGCTTTAGTAACTATCACAGTAGAAGATTTCAAAGAAACATTTGTAGCTCTAATAGATAGTGGAGCTGATACAAGTTGTATTAAAGAAGGAATAATCCCCACTAAATATTGTGAAAGAACAAAAGAAAAACTAATGGCTGCAAATGGAGAAGATTTAAAAGTAAAATATAAATTTACAAAAGGATCAATATGTAATAATGAATATTGTATTAGACATAATTTTATAATTGTAAATAATATAAATCATGATGTAATATTAGGAACACCCTTTTTAATTCAAATATATCCATTTTTAGTAAGTAATGAAGGGATTTCAGTAAATATAATGGGAAAAACTGTTATCTTTAAATTCTTAACCCCTATAAGACAAAAGGAATTACAATTATTACAAACATCTTCAATATATAAAACCATAAATACTATTACTAGAGTACAACAACAAATAAGTTATATTAAAGAGGAAAAATCTTATTTAAAAATTGAAGAACAACTAAATGATATTAAAATACAAAAAAGAATATCAGAATTAGAAGAATTATTTAAAAAAGAAATTTGTGCAGATATTCCTAATGCTTTTTGGGATAGAAAACAACATATGATAGAATTACCCTATGAAAAAGACTTTGAAGAAAAGAATATTCGAACAAAAGCTAGACCAATACAAATGAATTCTGAGCTACTAGAATTTTGTAAGAAGGAAATAAAAATATTAATAGATAAAGGATTAATAACACCTTCAAAATCACCTTGGAGTTGTGCTGCATTTTATGTTATGAATCAAGCTGAAAAAAAAAGAAGAGTTCCAAGATTAGTAATAAATTATAAACCTTTAAATAAAGTATTACAATGGATTAGATACCCTATTCCTAATAAAAAAGATTTGCTCAATAAATTGTTTAATGCCAAGATATTTTCAAAGTTCGATTTAAAATCAGGATATTGGCAAATAATAATAAATCCAAAAGATAGATATAAAACATCATTTACAACACCCTTTGGACATTATGAATGGAAAGTTATGCCATTTGGATTAAAAAATGCACCATCAGAATTTCAAAATATAATGAATGATATTTTTAATCCTTATAGTTCATTCAGTATAGTCTATATAGATGATGTATTAATATTTTCAAAATCTATAGAACAACATTTTAAACATTTAAGTATATTGAAATAAATAGTTAAGAAAAATGGATTAGTTGTTTCTGCTCTAAAAATGAAATTATTTCAACCTAAAATAAGATTTTTAGGACATAATATATATCAAGGAACAATAAAACCAATTAATAGAGCTTTAGAATTTGCTACTAAATTTCCAAATGAAATAAAAGATAAAAATCAACTACAAAGATTTCTAGGATGTTTAAATTATATATCAGATTTCTTTCCTAAATTAAGACAAGAATGTTCTATATTATTTAACAGATTAAAGAAAAATCCAAAACCTTGGACAGAAGAACATACTCAAAAAATAAAATATTTAAAGGAAAAAATTGAATCATTACCATGTTTATGTTTATCTCATCCTAAAGCATTCATGATAGTTGAAACAGATGCATCAGAATTAGGATACGGTGGAATATTAAAACAGAAAATAGATAATTCAAAAGAAGAATTAGTCAGATTTCATTCTGGAACATGGTCTGACCCTCAAAAGAATTATTCAACTATTAAAAAAAGAAATTTTATCCATAGTTTTGTGCATATCAAAATTTCAAGATGATTCATATAATAAAAAATTCTTAATTAGAATAGATTGTAAATCTGCCAAAGAAATTTTACAAAAAGATGTTCAAAATATAGTTTCAAAACAAATATTTGCTAGATGGCAAGCTATTTTATCTGGAAATGAACATGGATCGTGAAATGATGGCTCAAAGGGAAGAACGAGAATATACCAGTTACTTGAGAGCTCAAAGGGATTCTCCCACACTCCAAAACAAAGAAAAAGATATCCAATCTAGAGGATATCAATATTTTGCCCAAACCAGCTGTGACGACCCCACCTCCCCCTAAGGCGTACCAGAGGGTTCGGCGGACCGCCTGCCCAACTCTCGCCAGGACTCACTCACTATAATCACGTGCACACACCAAGAACCATTAATAATATCCGCAATTCAAGCTTATAATTTACATTGATAGAAAGCAAGGTACAAAGTCTCGATATACTTAAACTAATTCAAAATATATACAATCCAAGTACAAAATATTTCATTCGAGGAATAGCGCGAGTACAAAACCAAAATTCAAAACAAAGTTTAACGTAACTAGACTACGCTAGCCTTTACACTTCTCACGCTTCACTCGTACCCCTGTAAGGAAAAAAAAACTAAAAGGGTGAGCCGAAACCCAGTGAAGTTCCAAATATCAAATTGGCCAACAAGCAAGGAATAACACAGTAATAGTGAAATAGCAAGCAAACAAGTCATAATCAGGGAAATAGTACTTCAACTAATCAAATAATATCAAGTTTGCAATCACAAATAAGGATACGGTAATCATATCTCGGCCCCATTCCAGCTTGATCAATGGGTAGTTGACACTCCGTCAACTTTCAAATAATAACAAATCCAAAAGAAAACTTCACTACACGCAAATCCCCGTGCACCGATCAACCCCCTTTCTCGGGCCCGCACGCCACACATAACACGGGTGGTAATACTCGAGTATACCGGATTGCCGAGGAGATAACACTCCACTCGACTTAACTAGTAACCCAGGATTCGTTATCTAATCGACCAGAACCTTGCCGGCTCGACTCGATTAACTAGCCACAGGGTGTCTGGAATTCCAGGCAAGACATATTTCAAGTACATGTAGAGCAAGTCAAGTATATTCAATAGCAAGAACAAGTCATATTAGAGCAAGTGCGGTAAAGTACACCCTTGCCCTTTCATTCATTTTCATGTATTCACACAAGTCATGTAAGGAACACAGGTATCGAATACAATCGGATATTTGAAAGCACTCACCACAATAGTGCTTCTAATGCTCGCGTCGAGGTGGTACTCCGGGTTTGGAGTCCAAATCTGCGAGAAAATTTCAGTTTGAGAACTTTGAAACACGAGTAGGATTCGAAACTTAAATGTTCCGTTCATTAAGAATTGACCAATTGAAATTCATTTGAAAGACACTCGCGAAATACTTGCTCGCTTTTCAAATCATAAGGTTTTGTCATATAGACGCTTGGAAATAATACTTGAGTTGAAAGTACAAGAAAATATAAGTTTACATTGGTCATTAGACTTTTCCTCAAGGATACAAGTTCGACCAAGTCCTAACGTATAACACTCAAGAAATATAGTGACCAAGGTTCTTACTAGTTCAAGTAACAAGTACTTAACCTTCACTCAAGTCGCTAATATAGTTTTCTAGTTCTCGAGTAGAAATTCGGGCAACATGCCCTTTGTGTTTACCTAATTTTCCAGCCTTTTAGGCTTCATTGTTTTTCTCAAACACAACCCAACATTATACATATCAGCAATTCATGTCAAGAGCCGTTCCATAGGCTCACAATATCATAATAACAAGAATCATACTAAGTACAAGTGCAGAAATTCAATTTAGTTCAAGACAGATTTGACGTACAAATGCGGAAATAACATATCCGAAGCTACGCTTATCGGATTAAAACGAAACCTACGCCGTTTCGAAGCTAAGACACAGAGCTACAACATTCATAAAGGTCACTTAGTCCAGTTCCTACTGTAACTTAGTCAAATTCTCGAATTACTAAACCAGAAACCAATTCGTCGGCTGTTTAAACGCAGAACACTGTAATGAACATAACTCAGTGTACACAAGTCCGAATCAGGTGTTCTTAGATGCATTTTAAAGCCAATTCAGAATACTACAACTTTCATGTTTTGGCAAAAAGCTAAATCAAAAGGGATTCTAGTCAAAAAACGTGATAAACTGGACTTAACTGATCACACGGACTGCTTAGGAAATACTTAAAACAGTAAGGGTATTTTGGACTTTTCACATCCTACGTTGCTCCGATTGAGCTGAAATTTTGTAGGTACCTATAAAATGCCATTCTCTACAACTTTTCTTCTTTGACCTAGGGCCAATTCGGCCTCTATCATACAGATACAAATTCGGACAGAATGTTGAGCAAAAATTCCAGATTCTGGAATTTTGAGTTTCTAGTGCAATTTTCCTTAATTTCTTGGTCCAATCACTACCAAAACACCTTATACAACCTCAATTGCAACATATAAGCATCATACAATAATTTGGGCAGAATTTCCACAAGCCCTAGTTCATCAAATAAATTGGGGAAAAACCTCTAAAACATGCTAATCATCCATGATTCCACCACTATAATCAAACTACTAAACTTAATTTAACAAAATTGAAAGCAAAACTTAGAGAGATAAACTCTCTTACCTTGAATAGAGGTCACAAAGAGTAGCCCAAGCTTCCTCCTTCCAAAAACTTACCACAAATCACCACCTAGTCACTCAAGAACAAGTTTAATCGGTTTATTTTGTTTATTTTCTCACTAAGTTGTTGGATTTGAAGATGAAATGAAGAAGTTTTCTCTTGTTCTTACTCTCTCTCTCTCTCTCGGCTCCTTAGCAGAAAAATGAAGGAAAATGGAGCTTGGTTTGTCTTATAAGGAAGTAAGAAGATTAGGGCTAATTGTGACCACAATTTTTGCCAACACTTGGCCTAATCTTGACCACCAAATTTTTCTCTTTCTTTCTTGCTATTTTCTAGCCACTAATTTCGGTCCATCTTGCTGCTAAGAGAGAAGATATTTTGGTCAAGTTCAATAAATTTGTTTGATAAGAAAAATGGTGGTCAAACGGTACGTTCAATCGGTAGTGCGCGGGACCCGCCGGTTCGCGCCGTTTTTCTTAAAAACTCACGTACTAGGGTTTTTACTTCCCATTCACTAACCTTATCTCATTGCTACTACTCACATATTATTTCTCACTTAAAAGTCACTTTTAATCCCAAAAATTAATCCTTACTCTGTACCGAAAATTCATCCGGCGAAAAATCGCAAAACCCTAATTTTGCTCAAATCTTGAAACCGAAACGGAAAACCCTATTTTCTAGGTTTATTTGCTACTAATATGTTCTTGAATATTCACCTACTCATTCACAAATGAAAGGAGAAATAAATGTTATAAATAAACCATATAAAATAAATCATAAGTATTTACAAGAAGATTTTGATGATGAGGAAAATACTGAAAAAAGAATTTGATTTTTTCAACTAGAATCACCAATATAAAGAAAAACTAATTATAGAATGGAAAAATGAAATAAGTAAACTAAAGTTTGACTTCCCTTTCTTTACATGGTTAACATTTTATACATCAAAGTTAGGAATTAACAATGTTTACAATACACCACAAATAAATGTTCAAACTAATTTATATAAAAAATGGAAACTAAAAGATGATCAAATATTAACCGCAACTTCATTTGTATTGGTCTAGCTTTTTGAGTATGATAGAATCAAATTGAAAAATCCTTTGGGCAATGTTCATGGAATATAAAAAATCATGAATGATCAAATGATCTGTATAGAAAAGCTCTATACCAGGCCTGTTTGTAATCCTGATATGTGAATCATTCTAGAATTCTCTGGACTGAAATTTTTTTTTTTGAATAAATAGAAGCCCATTCTCCTGAGGAGCAAACCTTTTTAATTATACATTTGCAATGGGTTATTTCCTTTGGATTTGAAGGATTGGATTTTGCTATAATTTCGACTGATCCAGTATCAACTAGAATCAGTTCATAATAATATAGATTTCATATAAATTATGCAATACCAGAACCAGCCCAGGCAAGAAGGCATTAATTTAAAAAGGAAATAAATAATTGAAATCAGACTTGTTGAACCAAAATAAAGAGAGAGTTTTGAACTTACTTGTAATTAAAGTTCTTGAATTTAGATGAGTGTGGGGCGAGGAAGCGAATAGGAATGAAATCTTTTGATTTTATTGGAAACTAGGAGAATGTTTACAATATGAAGGCTCAGATCACATAAATTGATCGATGCCTCTCTTTTGAAATCCTACCTCTATTTATACATGAATCGAAATGCTCATTTTATTTTCATTTCATTTGAATCTTATCTTTTTATCTTCGTAATCTTGATATCTTCTTTTGATTGGATGGAACAATCCGTAACTTTTGAAATGTTGCTTACAATCTTTTTGAAAATTAGCTTTTAGTAGTCATACGGATCTTGTGCGCAGATCAGGGCCCACCAAAAGGGTCAGATGTTTGAGTGGGTGATGACGAAAGTTCCTCCGCTGTAGAGGATCCAACTGTTGTGGGTCCATGATTTGAAATTCCTTTGTCTTCTTTTGTTTGTTCCTTTAAATAATTCAGATATTCTTGAAGCATATCCGGATTTGTCATCATTTTTTAAAGGAAAAAATCTTGAGCCGGATTTGCTGCTTCTGTCTCTTTTCCTTTTGAAGGGGTGTGTGGCCTTTGAATACTTGAAGAGGTAGCGACCTTTTGAAACGGACTTTTTTCTTTTGTTTGAACTGTCACTAATTGCTGCATGGTCCATTTGAGTTTTTCGCTTGTTTGAAGAAATTTGAGTACGGTCTCTTGGGAGCATATTTCATGTTTGAATTCATCCTACCATTTAACTTTGAATTTTCGAACCAAAGACATTGGTAATGGTGCTTCTATATCTTGCATAATTTTAAAACTCCAGCAAAATATCCAAGGTACTTTGAATTCTGTGTGAAATAATATTGAACGAGTATATTCTTCTCCTTGAATCTTTTTGTAATAAGTCTGAAATCCCATTAACACTTTGAGAGGATATATCTGGAATTCTCCGGACTAAAAAATTCTTTTTTGAATAAATAGAGGCCCATTCTCCTAGGGAGCAAACCTTTTTAATTATACATTTGCAATGGGCTATTTCCATTAGATTTGAAGGATTGGGTTTTGCAATAATTTCGACTGATCCAGTATCAACTAGAATCAGTTCATAATAAGATTGATTTTTGAGGGGGTCATCAGGACACCAATAGCATCCTTCTGAGAAAATTCTCTGAGTAAGTGTTTTGAGTGTGACATAGGAAGGTACTTCTTTGAATTTAGTTAGAGTAATATGTTCAATCAGGAATTTTATAATGTAAGGAGATTTTTCTTTTATAATTGGGGTTTGTGGTGCTTTTGAAGAAATGAATGTATTTTGAGCTGCTTGAACATAAGATAAAGCTAGAAAATCTTGAAATAAACTATATTTATTTGAAGTAGGGACCTTACTGTTAGACATTTCATAATCATTTGGAGTGCGAGCCATATCTGCAAAATTAAAGTCAAGAAATAATTTTGTTGAGTTTCTCTCAAAACTGTTGAATTTGTTGGTCATAATTTGAGAACATCTTTGAAAATAATATTGAAATTAATTTGTCTTTTGAGAAGAAAGGCTTTTTCTTTTGGAGTCTGAACAAACCAAAAACTTGATCTAATATAAACTGGGGAATGATTTTGAATTTGATGATGAGGAATAGGCTGAATTTCTCCTTGGGAATTTTTAATGTAATAAGTATGATATCTATTGGAAATCTTTTTATCTTTTCTTTGAAGAATAGGATCGTCTCTTTCTCTTCGTAATCTTCAAATGTATTCTTTGTGTGACTCACGATCCATTCCCTTGAAGAAATTCGCGAGCAAGAAAATCTGATAATGAATTATTTTCGCCTTTAATATATTCTATTTCAAAATCAAAACAGATAAAATACCTTGCCATCTAGCAAATATTTGTTTTGAAACAAGATTTTTAACATCTTTTTGTAAAACTTCTTTTGCTGATTTGCAATCAACTCTTAATAAAAAAGTTTTATTTATCAAATCATCTTGAAATTTAGAAATACATAATGCAATGGCTAAAATTTCTTTTTTAATAATAATTCAATTTCAATTTCATATTTACATTATTTGTTAATTTATCTTATGTTCAAGCAGTTCAAAATACATCCACCTCTTCAAAAGCACCACAAACCCCAATTACAAAAGAAAAATCTCCTTACAT